TACGACCCCCTCTACGTACAAGGAGTAGCATCGAGCAGACGCATGGCTGTGAATGTCTGGGGCACTATGTTTCGTTATGGGTTTGGTGTGTTGCAACATATTGATGGACACCTGGCGTCGGATAAAGTGTCGTGACATCCTCGAATATGTCATGATACCTTACACCTCGGACGGGACTTTTCCTGATGGGGACTAGTTGTTTCAGCAAGGCTTGTCACCTGTTCACACTGCAAACGTTTTTTGAAGGGCTCTTAAACATTCGAGGGGTGCGGTGCCTGAAGTGGGTCCCCAAAGGGCAGACCTCAACATCATTCAGGTCGTATGGGGCAGAATGAAGGTCAGGTTGTTTAGAAGAGGGTTACACAGTTCATCCGTCGATGATCTATGGTGCGCCCTCGAAGAAAAATAGATACGCTTTCAAACTGAACGCAGCTTCGTTGACAAACTATACGCGTCACTACCGTCTAGAATGCAGAATGTGATTACCGTGCAAAGGGCCATGACCCGCTACTAAGATGTGGCGTCCGCATCATCTGCTTTCCTTTCCCGTCAGTTGAATTCTTGCATAATAATACTATCAGTGCCGACGTTTTTTCGGTTCATCAGCAGCCATTCAGCATTGGGTCCGCATCCAAGCACCATCGCCCCGCCACCGTGGTCTAGTCGCTAAGGTGCTCGGCTGCTGATCCGAAGGTCGCAGGATCAAATCCCAACTGTGACGGCTGCACTCCTATGGAGGCGGAAATATTGTAGGCCCGTGTGCTCAGTATGGGTGCACGTTAAAGAACCCCAGGTGGTCTAAATTTCCGGAGTCCTCCACTATGGCGTCTTTCGAAATCATATCGTGGTTTTGGACGTTAAACCCTACATATCAATGAATTAAAGCCAAGCACCATCGACAAAGGTACTGGCCGGGTTAGGAATTCCGAGTCATGTTTTTGCTTCTTATGTTAAGCATCGCAGTGTAACTTCAATTTGTTTTATTTTTGTATACAACTTCTGCCTTCTTACAGTTCTGTTGGTATTATTTATTTATTTATTCAGATACCTACAGCACCCAACCGGGCAATATTATAGGGGGGAAACGAACAGGAAAATATAGACGTAGTATATACAACATTAAAAGCAACAAAACATTATGCAAGAATAAACATAACTTCAGCAGTCTAAACATATATAACATTATAAAAAGACTAAACATCGCGTTACTAAGAGGTTGATACAGGTTGTACAACACGAAAAAGCAACAAAACATAATATTAAACTTTTAAGCATAAATTAATTTTATAGATACATAACCTCATAAGAAAGACAGAGTAGAAAACACAACTTGACAGAAGCTGTAAATGATGCGCTAAAGCTCAAAATATCTCACATGTGTCATGTAAAAACTAGTTAAACAAACATTCTGCGAGGGCTTCAGCAAAGGAAGTCGGCAACGACAGTGCAACTTCATTCGCGAGACAATTCCAGTCAAGGGCTGTCCTCGGAAAAAAAGAATGTTTATATAAGTTGATCTGAAACCTATATTCTCTAACCTTAAGGGATTGGTCTACGTGGGCAGATCTATAGGTAGGATTAAGTATTTAGGTTTCTTTCCTTAAGCAAGTTGCACCTATAAATATGTCGTGGAACAGTTTCAGGCGCATGTATTTCCACCTGTCCTGCAAAGACGGTCATCGAAGATTGTCCCGTATGTCAGTAGAGCTTTTTCTGAAATCATAGTTCGATGACACAAATCGTGCTGCACGCTTTTGGATGCACTGTATTTGTGAATACATGTCTTTGTACCGGGGTCTCAAGCAGAACATCCATATTCTATTATAGTGATACATTTGAAATGCAAAGAATTTCTTTTAATTTAGGAGACGCTTGCTTGAAGTTTCGCCTTAGGAAGTTGAGGACACAACTAGCCTTCACTGCTACGTAATCAATATGGTCATTCCAGGAAAAGTCATTTTTTTATAAAAGCCCTAATAATTGTAGCTGGGTACAATCATGAGGCTTTCGCCATCAAGACAGTATTTCGTATTTAAAGTATGACGTTTTGTAGAAAACTGGACAATGTTACATTTAGAAAAATTTAGCGTCGTATTCCACGTAATGCACCATAATAGTATCTCGTTGAGGTCACCTTGTAGTTGTACACTGTCATTCAAAGTATTAATTTCACGGTAATGGCAACAGTCCTCGGCATACAATATGAGACGGCTTGATATCCCTTCGCTATATCACTGATAAATATCTAAAAAAGCAGAGGCCCGAGTACAGATCCCTGAGAAACACCTGACAAGACTGCTTTATGTGATGAAGTTGTTCCGTTGAGAACAACACACTGTTTTTGGTCAGTAAGGTAATCCTCAATCCAATGGAAAGGACCCGTAGGATTAATAAGGGCAGACAGTTACACATACCATTTCACACAAGTATGTTCCTAATTTTCTCTACTGCGAGAAATTGACTTTATTTCGGCATTTCAACCAACATTTAATGATTATTACTTAAGAATAAAAAAAGAAAAAAGCAGCACAGCATTTGTTCTCACTGAATAATGAGTTAACTTCTCTATTGTAGCAGTGTTTTGATCTCTTTTAATGACCACACAGTTATTTTGGGAAGCCAGGGAAGTTTATTACTCGAGAACACTGAACACGAACTCACGTTGACGTATAATTGAAAAGCGCTTCTTGCCTCCTCCATTTTCTTGGCGAACCTACTGGAGAGTGGCATATGTTCATAACTAGTGTTATTGAAACGCTATATCAGCGTAGTTGTAAACAAGCAAAGTAACAGCTGCTGTGCCCATAAAAATAAATGTTGCTAGGATCACCGAAACGGTATTAACGGCAACACTTTGGGCATTGGCTGCACAGATTTGCTAAAAATTACTACTGAAAATGCTGCACAGCCTGAAACGTCACCAGATTTTTATTTTCTCGAGGAGCATGCCGTAGTCTGAAACTACCCATTGCAAGTAAAATGGTATTTTCACATTCATTTTTGCATAAGTTAACGCTCAGTTTTTGATAAGATTCGCACGACTCGTCTTGTGGGTGGTGAAGGCACTCCACTGTGCTACATTTTTTCAGGTAAGGACATAATTTGCATGCGAAACAAAGCGCAAGAGGTTTTTTCCAAACAAAGAAGGGCGCGAGAGGAAAGGAAGCTGGTGGGGGTGATGTACAATCGCAGGGTCAGCCAAGCCCTCTCCCGATAACTCAAAATATGTCACGATCGGCGCTAATGTACAACCTTGCAGTGCGCTTGGCAACGCGCTCGCGTGGTGTAGCTCATACTAAACGTGACAGTACGTGTAAAGGGGCTCGAAGAAGCAGACTTGGTCAAAGAGCAAAGGTGTGTTAAGAGTAGTTTCGTTATGGATTTGGAAGCAGTAGGTGTAACTTTAAGGGACACGAAGAATACGGAATGGGTGAAGCGACCAACGCGCGTAAGGGACAACATAGTCTTGAAGTGTGAAATGGTATGTGTGATTTTGAGACACACGAAGAGAGAAGATTGCGTCGAAGGACAAACACGTTTTAAAAAACAGCTTAGTTGAGGAATTGGAAGCAATTGGTGTAACGTTGATTGATTGATTGATGTGTGGGGTTCAACGTCCCAAAACCACCATATGATTATGAGAGACGCCGTAGAGGAGGGCTCCGGAAATTTAGACCACCTGGTGTTCTTTAACGTGCACCCAAATCTGAGCACACGGGCCTACAACATTTCCACCTCCATCGGAAATGCAGCCACCGCCGCCGGGCTTCGATCCCGCGACCTGCGGGTCAGCAGCCGAGTAGTTTAGCCACTAGACCACCGTGGCGGGGCGCAGTCGGTACAACGTTAAGGAGAGTGACGAAAAAGGAAACTGTTAAGGGAAAAACGTGCAGTAAAGACAGCTTAGTCATGAAATCAGAAACGGTAGGTGTAACGTTAAGGTACATAAAGAGAGTAGACTGGATCAAGGAACAAACAACAAACGTGTGTTGCAGACAGCTCAGTCGAGAAATCGGAAACGGTAGGGTTAACGTACAAGGGTTACGACGAGATAAAAAGGGGCCAGGGACAAACGTGCGTTAAGGACATCTTAGTCGCCGAAAGGGACACGGTAGGCGTAACGTTAAAGGGTAGAGTGCAGATTGAGGCAAGTGACAATCATGCGTAACAGCCCACTTTGTCGTGGAAGGGAAAACGGTAAATGTAAAGTTACTGGACACGAAGAGGGTGCAAAGGGCATAGAGCCTGCGTGTGTTATAAACAGCTTAGTCGTGGAATCGTAAACGGTAGGTGTATCCTAAGGGACATAGAGAGAGCAGATTGGGTCAGGAGACAGACGTGCGTTAAGGACAGCTTAGTCATGGAATGGGATAAGGCGCGAAATAGGCACGTTAAAAGCCACGAAGAGAACAGAGTGGGTCAAGGAACAAATGTTGATCAAGAAAAGCTTAGTCAATGAATGTAAATTGGTTGTGCAACTTTACGGGACACGAAGACAACACGATAGGTGACGGGACAAACGTGTGTCAAGAAAAACTTATTCATAGAAAGGGTGCCGGTAGTATAGCGTTAAGAGACACGAAGAGAGCAGAATGGGTCAGGAGACAAACGTGTGTTAGAGACAGCTTAGTCATTGAAGGAGAAACGCAGAAGCAATGAGCGTTATGTCAAGACACACAAAGAGAGCAGAATGGGTCCATAGACAAAGGTGTATTTGAGGCAGGTTAATATAAAACCACGACAATGTCGGCATGGGTATTCAGCGCGTTGCGGTCATGTAAAACGTTTTGTGGGCAGATGAGGTTAGCGAATTCGCTGAATCACTTGGGCGGAGCAAGCACACAGACGGATTGTTTGATGAAACATGAGAGGATCTTTCGCCCTGCATTGAGTACGTTGGGCTAATGATGATGATGGCTAAGTGGCATGCCATTATTCCTAGACAAGTAAGCAGAATTGTAGCATTCACTAAGCATTTATGCCAACGATGTTGAGCTTACTTGGAATTTGTAGTAGGCAGCGACAAAGACCCAGAAGCCCGCAAGCGCCGCAATGAGTACAGCTCCACAGCAAAGTCCAGGGCCAACGCCTATACGGGCTGTGAGCATGTATATGATAATAGGCATGCTCACAAGTCCGGGCAGTGGCGCAAGCATCTGCTGAGCGTTGAAGGAAATAAGGGTGCAGTCGACGCCCATCACTGAGGTAATATATCCAGGAGATGTTGAAGCACGTGCTGTAGGCGAGTAGTTCAGTACCTGCGATGATTGAAGACGCTTTTTTGAAATGCCTATAAACAGCTTGCATTGAACGTTTACAAACTTCGTTGCAGTGTATGTTGGGTTGAACTTTATATTGTGTCTGACACTTCTACATCTACGGAGCGTCGGCATTCGGCTTTGTGGTTACCCATCTTAAAATTTAGGAGGATGGTGAACTAGGTGGTTTGTGATATTGACAAGGCTAGCTGACGTAGCAACTATAACACTACTTATTATTGTCTCTAAGGAAACCATGTAGGCGCAACAAAACTACATTAGACGTGACCAATGTGTAGTTCCCATTTTCTAACGTGTACTTTTTTCTATTTCCTGTGATAAAGATAGGATTGAATAGCAGTCAACACAAAAGACAGTGACACATTGAAAGAAACAAATATGGAAAACACGCTAGAATCATTCACTACGTACTTTCAATGTGGTAAATAGGTGGTGACAAGACTTTAACGTACATATAAATGACAACAATATCACTCTTTTATCAATTTGTTGCACTCATTATATCGAAAACACTTTCCTTATATAAGATGAAAACAAGGTCGTAAATCATAAATTGTCTTTAAGGTTATCGACGTTATAGAGGAAAGAAGTGACGGCACCTTTTGTTCATAAACAATTGTGACCCAGGTGTTTTCAAGATGATTAAAATATTCGCTAAAACTTCACTTAGCTGGTAAATAGAAGTTAAACACCCTATTACTTCTCCATGCTTGAGAGCCCTGTGGTAAAAAGCACATAAGAAATAAGTTGAACCTTGCTATTTCATAACAGCATGCCACTACTCTTCTATTTAGCTTAAAGTGGGCAATTAGAGTTTTAATGGTCAAGCTATATCATATAAATTCTGTGAATTTGTTATATTGTCGGCTGAAAGCACTCATAAGTAGGGCGCCTAGACGTACTTACCCAGCCCTTCACGCATTTTGATGAGTGAAGGGCTGGGTAAATACGTCATGGCGTCATGAAACTAATACTAACGGTAGTTTGAATGTGTTAAAAGTTCAGCCGAAGAAAAAGCAAGAACATGAATGGGCTGAAATTGGAACCACCCTACACGTTATCAGTCTCACCTTGCCTCACTCACACTTCCTCAAAGAGAGAAAAATTTCAGGGGTACTTTTAGTGCTGAAAGGTGGTCTGAGAGATATTTCGGACAGGATATCCCGATTTCTTTCATTCTTTTGTTTTTCGAGGGTGTAGAAAAGAAGATGTTTGTCTTGGCGTTAAGTTTTTGCAAGTATTGCAAGATCGGCTTAACGTGCTTCCCGATCAGGCTGCTTGACTGAAACTGCTCCCCTTGAAAAACATTTTGGCAAATTCCAAGTACCTTTGCAATCGATGTTATGCGAAGCATGCGGATGGAAGGTGACTGTGTTGTAAATTTCTTAGTAAGTATATCAATACAAAGTGGCGACAAAGAAATGCACAAGTACATGCACAAACGTACATTAAAGAGCTGCTTTTGTTTCATACAACTGGTTGTTTAAGATTGGCCAACAATGCTAAGAACAACATGGATCACAACGTGAACAGGACTGGGCCCGATTCAGATTGGGGTGAGGCAGAGGGTACACCCACCTTTACAGTCGGTAGTGTTGAGTTATGTCATTAAATTTAGTGAGCCGATCGTCCCATTCCCACACCGGCGCAGAAAAGTCCGTTTGGGTGGCAGCTTCGTCTGACGTGACTTGGAACGTAAGACCTTGAGCCACGTTGTGCGCCACTTCATTCGGACTGTCCTCCAGGTTACCTAGTGGTGTGTGGGCAGGGAACCTCAGGATGTGCACGCATTTTTCCACTTCGTGAATTTTGCCTGCACTAAAATTCCGCAATGTTTCGGGGAAGATTCTACCACTGGCGTAGTTTCGTACGGCTCTCTACGAGTCGCTGATTACATATGAGGCATCATTGTGGGCTATGGCCATCACGATAGCCATTTCTTCTTCCGTTTACACGTTCCATGTCCTGATTGACGCGCTGCTTTTGCATTGTTTTGTGTGCTCTACGAGAGCAGCCACGAGGTGGTGACGTTCCAGGTAGCGTGTGCGCCAAAAATACTGCCTCATGGTTGCGCCCAAGCATATTTGACGTGGCTCTGGCTCTACTGACACATCTGCACTTGTTGTGTTCAGGGTACATGTTTCTTGGTATGAGTGGTACTGTGAGCATGACATGGATATTGCGTGTTATGTCATGTTTATCTCCGTGTTGAGTGTGGTAAGAAATAGCGAGATTAAACAGAATCTCGCGGCTGTTGTAGTCTTTGCTAATCGCTCGAATCGGGAGATTCGTTGCGCCTCACTAAGTTCCTCAAGGGTATTGTGTAAACCACGTTGAAGGAGAAGCTCGGTGCTGGTGGTTTGAGGCAAACCTAGCGCTTGTTTGTAAATTCTCCTAGTTAGGCTGGTGAACTTGGAATTTTTAGCTGTAAACCATCGGTGGTTTACCGCCGTATAGGTGATGTGACTTAGAACAAATGATTGGATCAAACGGATGATGCTAGCTTCTGTCATGCCTTTGTGTTTATTGATAATGCGCCTAATAAGGCACATCATGTCAGACACTCTGGCTTCAATGTTTCGAATAGTCTCTCTATTGGTACCCTTACTTTCTATTATCCAACCTAGCCAACGGGTTTTATGCACGATTGGTATGGCGTGACCGTCACTTGTAGTGAATTTTATATCAGCGTGTGTCTGTGCTTGGGGATGTTGTTTGGGTGGCCGACCTCTAAGTGTAGGGTGATACGGCAGTAGCTCAGAATTCTCCGCCGAGCAGGATAGTACAGTTCCTTGGTAAATGCCGTTCAACTGTGTCAATCCCCTCCTGTAATCACTGTTGAATTGAACCGTCACTGCCATCGCATACCCAGAGGGTTACGTCGCCGGCATAAATGGCGTGATAAATTCTTTGGATAGTTTGTAGTTTTGAAGGAAGACCAATGAGGGCGAAGGTAAACAACAAGTTAGAGACCACGGAACCCTGTGAGATGCCCGTGCTTCCCATGGTTATTTCAGACAACCTCAGTGCTCCAACAGTGATCGTGGCTGTTCTGCCCGTAAGAAATGCTCTTATGTAGTTGTACCTTCGAAGCCCTAAGTTTAGGGTATTGACCCGATTTATAATGGTGCTACGTGACAGATTCAAACGCGTTCTTGAGATCTAGACCAAGTATGCCCTTAGTGGAGCGTCTTGTACTGTTTAATCTGTGATGCTTAAGCTGCAATAAGACATCCGGCGTTGAAAGATGCCTGCGGAAACCAATTATGGTGTGCGGGAAAAATTATTGTCTTCGAGGTTTTTTGTCAGTCTAGCCAGGAAAGCGTGTTCCATCATTTTGCCTATTGAAGATGTTAAGGAGATGGGCCTGAGATTGTCAGTATTCAGAGGTTTGCCTAGTTTCAGAATCGGAATCACCTGGGCCTTTTTCTACTTTGGGGGCAAGAGTCCGGTGTTCCAGAAGTTATAGTAGTCTTTGATTAGCGTCATCAATTCATCGTCCAAATTACGTATTATCTTGTTCGTGATGTTGTCCGGACCTGCTGCAGATTTGGTGTCAAGTTTTTGTAGGGCGACACGGATATCTGCTTCGGTGAATTCTTCTTCTAGAGTGGTGTTGTCATGGCTCGTATAATCTGGATGCCGTTGAAAAGAAGCATAAGAGATGTATCTGAGCTCTACCTCCCTAAGAAACTCTTCGTCGGCCTCTTGAATGCATGCATTAGGTTGTTGATGGTTTGTAATTGGGTGGTTGTGTTGCCTTCCGGGTCGAGGAGGAACCGTAGAAAATGCCATGGTTACTAATACTTAGCTGTCTATTCATCGCATTGCAGGTTTAGTCTCAGTGTTGCCGACTTAGTCGTGTGACACATATATCTATCTCAGTGTCGAGGAGTGCTATGCGTTTCCTGAGGTTTCTGTAGTGTTTCTGTGTCTTCCACCTTTTTTGGAGAGATTGCTTTGCCATACACATAAGAGGAGCTGTTTTCTCAAGGGTTTACGTGGGCCACCTTAAACATGTACCTTGATGATGCAGTGGTCGCTGCCCAGGTGCTGTGGGGTATTTTTCCAGGTGGCTGCAGATCTGTGTCTCGTGAACATTAGATCAGGCGTTGTGTCTTTACTGGAGCTAGTGCCCACACGTGTTGGTGTGCTAGGGTTGGTGATGAGAGTTAATCACTCATGCTGCGAGTCAAACCAGAGAACCCTACCTTTAGGAAACACTTAAGAATATCCCCAGGCAGTGTGTGTTGCGTTAAAGTCCCCCACTGTTAAGATGGGAATTCGGTCAACGACGTTGAGGGCGTGTTTAAAGAGTGTGAGAAATGTTTGCTTCTTTTGATTAGGGTTGCTGTATGTGTTAAGTATAAAAAGACTTTCGTGTGTTGTTGCGGAACGAGTTTTTTATAAATAAATTGTTTTTAATGGTATATTCCGTGTCGTGTTGCGTGAATGTAAGGTTTCGTCTTACTAAGGTGGTAAAGAAAGTCGTCTCCCCGTTGGCATGTCCAATCGAGCGATAGCCTGTCAATTTAGTGAGACATTGTGTCTCCTGCAATAAAATGATATCGGGCTTAACTTTCCCTTCAAGGTATTGTTGCAGACTTGCTTACTTATTTGCATAGCTTCTACAATTCCGTTGCCAAATCATGTAGGCGTAATTTCTAGCTATGATAAACCACAGGGGGTAGGAATGTCGCCGGCTGTATCACACTCAATGCCGACGACGAGAAAAGTTGCTTTACAGTCACCATGGGGTCCAGTCCGCTAGCTGGCAGAGGGGTGACTATGGCCTCCACAACAATGAGTCGCTGCTGTAGGTGTTCGTTTTGTTGCTGGGTCATTTTAGCTATATTCTTTATGCGGTCAGTAAGGGCCGAGATAAGTAGGGATGAGTTGCTAATGAACTCATTCATTTCTTTGACTGATTGCTGAATTTCCTTCAGGACTCTACTCTCGGGCGTCACGCGTGTGGGTTT